CATCTACAGGATAATCAACAGGCACGGGACCCTTATCACCCTCCAACATCAGTGGGGTGGGGCTGGGAGTAGCTGAGTGAGGCTTCAAGAATTGAAACCTGGTGCACTGCCTTGCCAGTCATTGGGTCCGGGCATACATCTCCTTGTAGAGAACAAAGAGAGAGTTCAAATCATGCTTGAACTACAGGCTTCTGTCCAGGCTAGGGTCCATATCCAGAGCAAACTGAGCAAGTCTCTCAGCCTGTGCAAAAAAACTCTGCCAGCGTCTTCATAGTCATGTCCTTGACCTCGACGACCACCTCTTGCTCCTGTTCCTCCTCTTCCTCATCAGTAGCTGCAATCTCTATCAGTTCATCAACACTTAATTCCTCATTGTGGGAATTGATGAGCCCCATGACATCTGCCTCCTCAAGGTCTGAAAAGCCATCTCCTTCCACCTTCCATCCAAGATCAATAACCTCTTGGACAGTTGAGCACAGTTTGGGGGGAGCCCGTGGTGTCCATAACACATTCCTTCCAGAGAGGCTTCCAAGCACTATTTGTGGTGCTGGATTTCACTTCATGCCATGAAGCCTTAATGTTATCAGTGACATCCCTCACATTGTATGCCTTCCACCACTCATGGATTGTTGGGTCTGTCAGTATCATCCAGCAGCTGGGAGATGCTCCTTCTTAGGTAGTAGGCCTTGAATGTTGATATCATGCCCTGATCAAGAGGCTGGATTAGTGAGGTCATGTTAGGGGGGAGGAACATGATTCTTACATTGGGGTTGATAGTTTCCATGTGTTTATGGTGTCCAGGGGCATTATCAAGGATAAGCAATACCTTAAACACAAGGTTAGCCTCCCTGCAATAGTGCTCTGCCTCCACGATAAAATGTTGAGCAAACCAGTCCTCAGAAACTTGGCCTGTTACCCATGTCTTCTTATTTGCAGGCCAGTGTACAGGCAACATGTTCCTACTCAGTGCTTTTAATGTACGTGGGTTTAGGGAGTGGAAGACTATCAGTGGCTTGCGCTTAGAATCTCCGGCAGCACTGCCACACAGTAGGACAGTCAGTTTGTTCTTCGCTGCTTTGAACCCACTTGCAACCTTCTCTTCCTTGAGATGTACGTCCCAGATAGTATCTGTGCCCCATCTCATCTGCAATGAAACCTTGCTTAGGACTGTACCCCTCAGCAGCTATGATTGCTTGAAGCACCTCAGGAAGCTTTGCAACAGCTTCATGATCAGCACTTGCAATTTCCCCAGTCATCTTAACATTGTGCATGGTCTTATGCTGAAGGGACTTGTCAAACCAGCCCTTACTAGCTATGAAGGGCTCTTCAGGGCCACCATCCTCTTGAAGCAGACAGCCATAAATTTGGAGGACCTTACACCTTATTGCAGCAGAGGAAAGATTCATCTTCCTCTGGGTCTGATCTTCCACCCACACCCCCAACATCTTCTCCAACAGTGGGTTCCTTATTTTCATTGCTATCTTGGCAGCAAGTGGTGTAGAATGCATCACAGAACTCCTTATGTTGTCAGCATTCTCCTTGATGGCACGTATGGTTGACTCACCCAGGTTGAATGCATGACCCAGTGCAGAGGGCCGCTCACCATCTTCTGCATGGTTCAAAATCTCCACTTTTGTGTCTCCAGTGTTAGCGAAGTTCTCTTGTGCTTCATTGATGGACCAGGGAGAGGGGTAGGAGATAAGCTAGTGGGATGGAAACTACAGAAACACATCATAGACAATAAGCAAGGAGCACAGATCTGCACAGGAGATTATATTTCGGTGTGCATCGCTCCTACAATGCACTGCACAAAGCAGCTGACTGTGGGCTTCCACCACACCAATCACATAAAAGTGAATTTACCTCACATATAATGAATTTTTGGTATAAAAGGGTCATTGCATAAGAGCGAATTTGCACATACAGAACCCACATAAAGCGAGGGGAACCTGTACTATCACTTTACAAATGGTAACTGTTAGAATCATCCCCTCCCTTCTTCCACAGGCATGTACATATTACAACGTAAATGGCTCTAAAGTTTTCTATTAAAACTGAAGGACTGTCCTGTCTTGTCAACTAGACATCACAGCAAACTATTACTATTGGGTGTTCTACTTAAAATATAAAACAATGGGCCAAATTAACCCTGGTGTAAAAGCTTGCAATTCTGACTACTATTAGCTGTGACTAGTAACTTAGGATGCCCAACAGGAGGTGTTTTTAGATGTCAGTCTTCTGAGGAAAACAGAGCTTACAGGAAACCTAATTTGTGTTGCTGAGTGACCGAACCATTAGATCATCCACAGTACAGCACAGACTTGGTCACACTCCTTTCAGCTGGAGAGCTGGTTCATGTAAAGCAACATGGTGTATTTGAGGGTGCCACTTCTGGGCATGGGAAGTTTGCAGTCTGGACATGGCCCAGGAGTTCTGTGACCTAAAATCTCTGAGTAGTTTTGGCCAACAAAAGGCAATGGTTGGCAACATTTTGGGGTTATTTGACAGAGCTTGTCTTGGAGCGTAGGCCACTTCCAACCTGGCTCATGCTGCCACTGATGCAGCTATAATCACTGCTCCCCCCTGCAGTGCTGCTGCCACTGCTCCTCATGGCTTCCTGGCCACGCCTGTCAGTGAAGCCCTCCACTACTGAAATGCCATGGAAGCGCCCAGCTACCAAAGTGTTGCAGAGGACCTCTTGCTCTGCAGGCCGGATAAAATGGCTCCAGGACTGAGTTTGGCCCACGGACCATAGGTTGCTGAACCCTGGGTGTTGTAACTTGGTTAATCAGTTGATCTACTCCAGTGGTGCCCAACCTTTTTGCCCAAACAAGATAGCTCCGTGGACCACATTTCACCTTCAGACCAGTGGTTGAGTGCCCCTGATTTACACTAATTCTCATCAGCTAAACCTCTTACTTTCTGGATTACAAAGCTCAGGCATGATTTACAATTAGGGTTTCTGGTAACCACCCCACAAACTCCCTTAAATATGTAAATATTTTCAGTAAGGTCTGAAAAATTATTTTGAAAAGTCAAATTTGTTTGTATTCCTCTGTTGGATTCTGCCCTTGAACTTGTTACCAAGAAGTTAAATAGCCTAGAAGATTTTTTTGCACAACTGTACAACTAAAATATTATTTTTTTTAATACCATGTTAAGTAATGTCAGTACTAGCATATCAGACATTAGATGTGGAAACCTTTTTCCTGTTTTAACATACCAGCTTTTTGTTTATAAAACTCTGAGGCTCTCTGTTCTTCAGGATAGATGCCTCCAAGGATTGTGCAGTTTTCTACGTAGATAAAATGAAGAATTTCAGAGGTATGCCCTACAACAAATGCGATCTGATATTGCAAATATTCCAAAAATAGTTTTCATAACTGAAAATATTAAATGTAAACTCCTGAGTGTAGTTTTAAAGTAGCTAAAACTGCTTTTTGCTGTGTTTTGGAGCAGAGGTGGCTATGTTTCAGTCATGGGTAAGGCAATCCCCATATGTTCTGCCTTTTATCACTGGTGATGTCATAAGCAATCTTTGTAAATCACTTTTAGGCTTTTGAATGATAATTCCCAGGACTGCAAATTATACTGTACATGTTAACCTCTGAAGGGGATGCATAGCTTGTTTATGCTGGAGAACTGAATGGGCAGAGTTGCACAATTGTAAGCCAAAGGTGCAATGTGTGTACTTTAAACAATGCATGAATAGAAAAACCCAGTTACTATTTTGTCTTACCTTCATGTCACAAACCCAACCCTTGGGGTATCCCCCGGACCCCAAGTTTTTCCCTGCTGTCCTGCTGCTTGTCCCAAGGGACAGACCAACATTTGCCCTTACACCAGACCCCACAGCTGCAGCAAGGGAATCTTTGCCAGCTCCCAGGTGAGATAAGAATTCCCTTGGGTTGTGAAAAAAATGTACTTCCCCCACTTCTGTAGAAGGGACTAGCCTTCACTTGCCCCAAGATCATACTTTACCACAGGTAATCATTAAGGTAACAGAATAACAAAAGGAATCATTGCATAGAAAATAATTGTATATGAAAAGTTGACCACGTTGCTTGAAGACAGAACAAAAAGACAATTACTTGCCCTTTCATTTGGCTACAACCTAATCCTTCTGGGAGTCCTGCCAGTATTTCCAGAGATCAGACTTTCTGTTGATCCTGCCAGCCCTGATTGCTGAGGATCTGGAATCATTCTAAGGCCTGGGATCATCCAAAGACAACCACTAGCTCACTGAAAGCTCCTAAATACCTCCCAGATAGCTTCCTTTCTCCCCTATCCCCCAGCCAACCTTGTTCACTTTTTTGGAAAGTCTCAGAATTCTCTAAAAAGGCCTTTCTTTCCTGGGGCACTTGGAGTTTCCCTAGCAAATGACCCGTTTTCCTGACATGACTTTGTTACTGTGAGACTGAGTTTTACCATTATAGGCAGACAATACCTTGGGCACCCATACCAATAATAGCCCTTCCATCCAGTGATAAGAATGATATGAATGAATATAACTTATTACCAGCTTTTAAATGGGACCAACATGAAATCAATCAAATCAAACTTGGGACAGATGTCTTTATGGAAGACACTTTAAGCTCCCAATTCATTCCTACTTTTGGGGTGTGCTTGGGACAGTCCACTCAAGCTCTACATTGCAAAACTGTTCTGAAGTTAATAGGTATCCAGGTTGTAGCTGTATTGGTCTAAAGCAGTGGTCTCCAAAGTGGGGTACGCGCACCCCAGGGGGTGTACAAGACGATCCATTGGGGTGCGGGAAGAAAATATTAGAACTTCTATTTCTATTTTTATTTATATAAATATACATATATTGGGGTGCATGCTCAAAAATTTTTTCCTGATAGGGGTGCACAATCAAAACAAGTTTGGAGACCACTGGTTTAAAGGATAGGACGTTTATCCCACGGATCCTGGCATAGCTTCCAGAAGTAGTAGATTCTGAGAATTTTGAAAGCCTTTGTGTGATACTTCAGGCAGTCTGTTATAACTGGGCTGAAGGACACATTCAGTGTGCTGAATTTCTCTAATGTAGAAAAAGACATAAAAAGGTTCAGGCCTCTTCATAGCCACACTTTTTGTTATGGACATACTTTTGTTTATCCATACCTTTGTTACTCTTCACCATTGTTATATCCACACTTCTTCAATCCTGAGTTGATGTTTTTTATTTTGTGTTTTATGAATTTATGAATGTTTTATGCTGTGTATGTAGCATGGGTACTAACTTGCAGAAAAGTAATTTATTTGCCAAGTGATGCTTTCACATAACAATCAACACTATTTATCACAGTGTTTTTAAAAGCATTTAAATATAAAACTGCCACACAATCTGGATGCACTGTTTATTCAAGCTGACTGGCAGCCTTTACTCAAAACAGGGCCAGAACTGTTGCACATTAGAACTGAGTTGGATTGGCATAGATTTATGAGAACTTATTTAATACAAGTTCTAGCTGGTGGTACCAGCAACTCATTTTCAGGAGCACACAGCTTAATTTCTCTGTTATCATGGAAACTTTCCATTGTGTTACTTGGATAAAGTAGATCTGTGAGATTGCTTTAGATTTAGCCATGCAATTGTTCTTTCCCATACCTTTTATTAGTTTATCTCTTGTATTTACCTGTCCAGTCAATGAACTTTTTAACACTGCCTTTGTCTTTAAAAGACAGTAAGTGCTTGGCCTTTGATAGAATTTATGGAGTCAATACCTTCCCATGAAAAAAAATGTTTTTCAGCCGCAGAATTAATTGCCTATTTGAGACTTTCAAGAATTGATTTTTGGTTTTATATATCACATCCAGATGCCTCTGAATCCATGAGACTAAATAATAGTTGTCTAATCTTAGCTGACTACTAAAAAGATAGATTCAAAATTTTCAGAAATGACTAACTGTTTGGGAAGCCCAGCATAATTGCCCTTCTGGTTGCCAAACTATCCTAAAACATCTTGATCACCTGGCCTCTGAAAACAAGGTTCCTTCAAGGTACATTAAAAGGGCATGCAGCCTTTTAAAAAAATCTTGGAGATCAGAACTGAAGGACAAGATTGTCCTGTTTCTGAAGGACAAGGTATAACCTCTGGACCTCAGTTTCACCTAGTCAGTTGTTTTGTTTGTTTTTTAGATGGCATACTTTCCAACAAAGGCTCTGGACAGCTTACTGTGAGAGACAACCTAATTTATATAAACAAGCAGATAAGGTATGAAACAAAAACTCTTTAAATGATATCACAGCTTAGCTTGCTAAATGCTGCCCAAATTGAAAGGTCTTGCAGCGTTTCCAGAAGATGGGAGGTCTCAAGAGGGAGGGAATTCCAAAGCTGAGGACTGACTACTGAAAACAGTCTCTCACATGTTTTCACCAATGATTTCCCATGTTTTGGTGGACTCTTGGTACTTACAGGAAGTTGTTCTTGGCTGACCTTAGGGATGTGGATGGGGCATAATGAGACAACAGCATTGACAGGATTGGCTACACAGCAATCTCTTCAATGAACTAAAACTCAAAAAAGGAATCCTACAAAAAAGTGGAAACTTAATCATAGTACTAAGGAAGAGTATAAGAGCATCACAAGGGTGTACGAAGAGAAAATTAGAAAGGCCAAGGCATGATTTGAAAGGCTACTAGCAAGGGACACAACAGGCAATAAAAAGGAATTCTACAAGTATGCCAAAAGGAAGAGGAAGGCCAAAGAAACCATAAGTCCCTTATGGAATGCAGCAGGTAATCTAATTATGCATAATGCACAGAAAGCTGAAGTGTTTAAAGTCTTTCTTACTTCAGACTTCATGAATAAAGTCAGCTACCATATGACAAGTGCCATTTGCAGCAAAGAAAGGGAAGGAGATAAATAGTCTAGAGTAGTGGAAGAACACATTAGAGATAACTTAGATGCTTTCAAGTCAACAGATCCTGGGTTACTGAAAGAATTGACTGAGGTCATTTCTGAGCCATTGGCTATCCTGGCTATCCTCTTTGAGAACTCATGGAAGTTGGGTGAGGTCTCAGATTATTGGAAAAGGGCAGATATAGTGCCCATCTTTAAGAAAGGAAAGAAGAAAGATCCAGGGAATAAAAGCGCAGTCAGCCTGAACTCAATATTTGGAAAGATTATATAGCAGATCCTCAAGGAATCTATTGTGAAGCACCTAGAGGACAATAAGGTGATTAGGAACAGCCAGCATGGATTCATCAAGGGCAAGTGAGGCCTGACCAACATGATTTTCTTCTATAATAAGGCTCTGTGGATGGGGTAAGAGCAGTAAATGTGATATACCTTGATTTTTGCAAGGCTTTAACACTGTCTGCCACTATTCTCATTAACAACCCAAGGAAATACAGACAAGATGAAAGTATTGTGAGGTGGATAAACAACCAGTTATTTTATTATGCTCAATGAGTAATCAACAGTGGCACTATATCCAGCTGGGAGGAGGTATCAAGTGAGGTTCCCCAGGGGTTTGTCTTGGGTCTGGTATTGTTTAATAATATCTTCATTAATGATTTGGACAAAAGAATTGAATGCATGCTTAACAACTTTACAGATGACACCAAATTGGGTGGAGTTGCAGATGCTCTGGAAGGTAGGGCTAGGATCCAGAATGACCTGAACAGATAGGACAAATGGTTCACAATCAACCAGATTAGATCCAACAAGGACAAGTCCAAAGTCCTGAATTTGGGATGGAATAACTGCATGCACAAATACAGAGTAGGGAATGATTGGCTAGGCTGCAATACTACAAAGACCTAGGAGTTACAGTGGACCATAAACTGAATAAGAGCCAACAATGTGCTCTTGTGGCAAAAAAGGCCAACAGCATACTGGGTTATATTAACAGGATTGTCACTTGCAAATCAAGGGAAATGATCCTTCTCTATTCAGAACTGATTAGGCCTCACCTGGAGTACTCTGTCAAATTTTGGGCCCCACATTTCAAGACAGATGTGGATAGACTGGAAAGAGTCCAGTGGGGAGTAACAAAAATAATTAAAGGTCTTGGGAACAAGATTTGTGAGGAGAGGTTGAAAGAACTAGGGTTATTTAGTTTGGAGAAGAGAAGACTGAGAGGGGATTTGATAACAGTCTTCAAAAACCAGAAGGGCAAGTATTAAGAGGATGGAGATACCCTTTTCTCTGTGGCCATAGGGACCAGACTGGTAACCATGGGCTCAAACTGCAGGAGAAGAAATTTAGATTGGAAGAACTTTGTGACCATGAGGGTGCTCAAGCATTAGAACAGGCTACCTAGAGAAGATGTGGAATATGCATCTTT